ACGGATAGGTACACAACGTGAAATCCAGGTATCTGGAGTTTCGAAATATAAAGCTTTCTTTTGAGCTGCGATCCCCTCCCCAGCGGGGAGGTTAGTGCTTGCTGATAAGAACAAACATTCAAACTGGCTATTAGGTTGTTCCATAAGTCTTTTCATTTTTGAGTTTTCGCTATAATAAGTCACACAATTCTCATTCTAAATAGACATCAGGGTATCATTCGATAGAGCAAAGCAAGCTCTATAAGATGGCGTTCATGCATCCATGTTCGACTATCCATGAATCTTAGCATAGTTGCAGTCTTCTCGTTAGTTGCTTGAGCGTATTTCAAGATTGGTATAGAACCTTATCGCACAGAATAACAGACTGACGTTTCGGCGAACTCGCCTTCTTCAGAGTCTGAAAAAGTCTGAAATAGTCTGTTATTCCGTGCGATAAAGTTTTGTACCAATCTCGGATTACGCTCAAGCAACTAACGAGAAGATTGCAACTATGCCAAGATTCATGGATAGTCGAACATGGATGCTTATGAACAATGTACCAGCAAGTTCCTTTCGACTCGTAAAAGAAACTCTCTCTTTGAGACAAAAGATTGTCTCGGAGAGGCAGACCATCCACTTCCTACGCCGCTGCTTAAAAGAACATGTGATGCCGAATTTCATCTCAAGGAAGCGTATCCACGAAGTTGGCGGGCTACCCAAAGAAAGTCAGCAAGTCAAGAAAATCGAGCAACAACTCCTTCGTATGGCACTCCGATCCAAGCAAGATCATATGTATAAGATGTTGTCTAAGTGTTTGTATAAGGAGCAATGTTGTGCAGGACCCGGCGGAGGTGGCGCTTTCACAAGCTGGATATCGTTTTTGGCCCGAAAAAGCAAAAGGGAAGTCGTATTTTGGGGTCCTTACCGATAAACAATGCACATATCATTCTTTATTCATCATTCCTTGTTGATGCTACTGTCCTATGAACTTAGATTCCAGCAATGTGAAGATTCTGTACTCCGATCGCTAGCCTGCCCGCAGGCGGGAATTCAAATCGCAATTCTTGTAAGAGGAAAATAACAAAATAGGCTCGTTTTCAATGCACAAGTAACGATATGGCACCAAATTTGCTGTGTAGTTGGAGGACCATGAGCACAAAAAAAGTATGAAGAATTATGAGGAACTTATGTGAATTTAAAAAATGCTAAGTGTTTTTCGAGCCACCCCAGGTGGCTCCCGAGCCACCTGGGAGCCACCTGGGGTGGCTTCTTGCTTCCCTTCACATAATTTTCCGGATTTCTTTACATAAATGTGGACTAGGTCGAGAGTATTACTATATGTTCAAATCCGCTTCCAAAACCACCAAGACACCGCTTCTATAGCGTTATGATCGGCCTCGGAAAGCGCGCTGCAATCGCAATCGGTTATTGTAAATTGTAAAATTTCGCAGCTGACTAATAAATGAGTAGTATTTTAGATATATAGACGTCAAAGTTTGTGCAAATCTTGACCCTATGTTTTTTTTAATGAATTTCTTTGCGGAAGAACCCATTGAACTGAAACCTTGATGACCCGGGTTGAACCAGGAAAGCCAGGTAGAACTACTATAATAAGCGCTGAGGCGCCCACCTTATTATTTGTGTATATGTGTTTGTCAGGGACTTACGGGGGCCAAAAATAGGGTCAAAGGGGAAGTCGTAAGAAGTTTTGGCTTTAAGGGGGATATTTAAGGGGTTTTCAAAATTCTAAAATGCCACCTCCTGCCGAGCCTGATGTTGTGTACGATATATGCCTGATCGCCTTTGGAAGAGGATCGTGGGTGATCGAAACACATCTGTGATCATATCCGATCTAATACTAAGTCTAGATTGCAGAAAAAGTTCAATTTAGTTGAACAAGGGCGAGACCATTCACAAGAGCCGGCTAGTGCAAACAGTTCTGGTTACGAAAGTCAAAACAGTACTGCTCCTGCTCTCACTAATGCTCCTAGTCGATTCCGGGTGTCAGTAATCGGCAATGCACACATTTCCGATGATGCGCTATCATTACTGGACCTCGGTCCTAGTTTCGCACCTAACCAATCAATAGGATCTCGGGTATCGCGTAGGATTGTCGGCAGCCTGCAATATGTTCACGAAAAGATACGTCAAGGAGCCAACGAGCGAGAGAGCGCAAGAGACAGCGAAACAGCTGCGGGAAAAACATGGCCATTATTCCTTTTCCGCGTTTGGTTTACAAACCACAGGAGCCTAATCAGCCAGCGGAAGCCAAGTTTAGAGTGTTTGCTACGGATTGTTCTCAATTCTTGGTCGTTTTCGCCAAAAAAGCCAAAATAGTAATTTAACACATTTGCAACGCCGCGGCCTGAGCGAAATTCGCGACCTTTGTGCTGCAGGGGAGATCAAGGTGTCGGTCAGCGACAAAACAGGGGAGTTTGTAATTCTTTCTCGTGATCTGGACAGGGCAATCACCAAACACTATCTGCAGGATATTACCGTATACGAGCCGACAGCAAACGATTTCAGGAAGCAATACCGTCACTTGAACAGGATATGGTTAGACGTAGCTAAAGCTGAGGGCATTCCCAGGGCTATTGCTTCACGTTTAAAGACCGATCTGCCTATGTGTCCGGTCCTTTACTCTCTAATCAAGACACATAATAAGGTTAGGCCTATCATTAGCAGCGTTGGAGGTCCTACGGATAGGATTTCGTGGTTTCTCAATATTATTCTCTCTCAACTGCTAAGATTTGTCCCCGTACATTTCTCCAACACCAGAATGTTTCTTGATCGTCTGCGCAGCACCAATGTAAGGCAAGGGTGCGTTTTGGAGTCTTTCGATGTGGAATCGCTCTATACCAACGTCTCCAACGACGCCGCAGTGCAAGCGACCTTCGAACTTCTTGTAGAACACCAGTCGTCACTTGATCTTTATGGTCTTAGCATCAGAGGCATCTTGTCGTTGGTAGAAGAATGTCTCAACTGCTCCATATTTCGTTGGTGCGGAAGCTATAACAGGCAGATTAGAGGATTGGCTATGGGACAAAGACTAGCGCCGACCCTGGCAATTGTTTTCATGTCTAAGGTGGAAGCCCCAGTTCTGGCGAGCAAGCCTCTGCTCTACTGTCGATACGTGGACGACTGCTGTATCGTATGTCCTACCCAGGCCGAGCTTGATGCTTGCTTCAATATCATGAATGCCCAGGACACTAACATCAAGATGACGAGGGAGAAACCCAAAAATGGATGGCTGCCGTTCCTCGACGTACAGTTATGTTTATCGGACAGAGGTTTCAAGACCAGATGGAACCGAAAGCCGAGCAGCAAAAACATTTTAGTACACCATTCTTCAGCACATCCCGCACGAATAAATGCCTCCATTGTGGGGAACATGTTTAGAACGGCTGCAGGGGTCTCTTCTGATAGGGACGAAAAGACGCGTTCGCTGGAGCTCGCAAAATCAGTAGCAAGATCTAATGGATACAGCACGAAAACTCGTCATCCTTACGGATACCGAGTCCATCGTACACTGCCTATCGGGAGCCGATGATAAGATCCTATTCTGTCTGCCATATATCTCAGAAGAGTTTAGTAGCGCTGTTCGCAAATTACTTCATCAAGCAGGCTTCAATGATATGGTAAGGATCGTCGACATTCCGCTTGCAAACCTTAAACAGCAGCTAGTACAAAATTGGGAGTATGATCGTCTGTGTACAACTCCTAATTGTGTGATTTGTCCATACGGCAAGAAAGGAGACTGTACGGTATCAGGAGTTGTCTACCTTATCACGTGTACATCATGTGGAGACACGTATATTGGCGAGACGGGTCGCCCCCTATGCACGCGCATCAAAGAACACTTAGATGGTCTCAGCAAGGGCAACGTAGCTACTCCGTTAGGCATGCATCGCAGGCTCAGCCATGACAACGCGGAGGTGGTGGTGCAGGTTCGAATTTGGCGCGTGAACCCGAAATCCTAGCGCGCAAGACACTCGAAGCATTTTGGATAGCCGCCCAAAATCCAAAAATCAACCGTAAGGACGAGTGCCTAGCCATTACTAACGAACTGTCACCATATCAGAGCCTCTGTGGCTTTTGAATAATGGGGTCAAGTCAGAACCGGGTCACTAGTTAACTATAAAAGTAAAGCAGTGCAGCATTTGACATAAGTGGTCTGCACCCACCAAATTATCATCTGCTAAGGTGAGCACTAGCTTAATCTTGGTTTTGGTTGAGGCTGTTGTTTTTCTTAGAGAGTTGGGTTTCGTTCTGTAGTCGACGAGGTGTTTGATCGGATAGTTAACTTATGTGTCTTCGACTTTTTCAGACTCTGAAGAAGGCGAGTTCGCCGAAACGTTAGTCTGTTATTCTGTGCGATAAAGTCCTGTACCAATCTTAAATTACGCTCAAGCAACTAACGAGAAGATGGCGTTTATGCTTTTGCACAAGCTTTGGTCCATCTCGCGTTTTAAACCAAAATCTAAAAAGTTTCTGATGGTCAGAAAACCGAAAATTTTTAATATCTTCGTTCAAAAAAATCCACAAATCTTTGACTCGCTCATGCATATGCATTCCACATCTGACATTCACATGTGCTGGATATTTGTATGCGAAATGGTGCTTTCGTGAGTATGGAGATCAACAAAGATCTCCATACTCACGATCACAAGTATTGAAGATCGATCATCAACCGAGTTTGAGGAGCCCCTAATAGCACTAAACTGCTACCTATGGGTTGCTGCTAAGGATGTCCAGAGAAAAAGACAAGAGATTATTGGCAAAGTTTGCAAAAAGCCCCTCATTTTGATTTGGAAACAGGAGATGAGAGAAAGAGAAAGGTTTGCAAAACACTCAGAAAGAGATTTAGATTGATCGAACAATGCATATGAGGATTGAGCAGGAGTGAATCCACTATCGAGGAAAGCATTCAAAAGTCTCGAAAAAAAGACGATTGGCAAAATGCGCCTATGCTCGATAGCGGACTCACAGAAGAATGATATTTTAAATAGAAAATCTGCAACCTACCTGCGATTGCCCTCGACGGCCCTGGTTCTGCTCCGCTGGATTTGATGTCGGGCAACCCTACAAGCACAGTTCTACAGTGAAACTATGTAAACCATTTATTTATTAATTTATTTATTTTACACGAAAAGTGTGCCAAAAATTCACAAAAAATTAACAAAACAACTCTTGAAACATAAAAACATCGACACAAAAAAATGATCGGTCTCAAGTTTGCTCTTGTTCCTAAGTGTCTTCCGCCGTGGTATCGGGTCGTTCTCCTTCTCTAGAAGGCGAGGTTTTCTTGCTGAGATCCTAGTCCCAAACCTAGACGCGAGTACGGCTGAAATTTACACCAGGGCTTGAATATCTAACTTGACCAGAGGCGGACGTAACCGTCGGGAACCCTGGGCGTGAAGGAAAGGGGGGACCTCAAGACTAATGCTCGCCAACTTCCGAAATCCTCAAACGCTACTCGTGCGAAAAGACGCGATTGTTGCATGTGATATGATGGAAGAGCAAAAATTCTTTCTCAATTTCATGGCAAAAAAAGGCTGGTTGTACTCAAGTAGCAAAAAAACATTTTAGAATCTTATGTCACTTATCCAAAAATTAGAAGAAGAATCAGAAGGCGTTGAGCCGTGATATGTCACTCTGCTAAAGCTTTATGAATTTCTCAAACATCAGAAATTCCCAGAACTGACATTACATTGATTGTGGCTAATTTCTTGCGAAATTCTGCGGATGTTTTAGAAACGGCTATTTCTCTAGGAAGGAGCTCAAGCCAACTTGCAGTGCGATACATGAAGGAATTAAAAGCAAGAGAAAGTTTTTTGCTTCCCAGTCTCCGGTATCCCAAACCAAATCCCCCCGCTCGATTACCACAAGGCCTGGAAGTTCAATATTTACTAGGCTTCAATCTGCTTTCTAACCTGATAATCCGAAAGCAGAAAATGAGGTCATTGCATACGCGCCTGTACTTTAATCTCTGCAGCTTAAGCGCAGTAAGCCTTTCCTTATAAGATGGCAAAGTTTGGGGATGATCAGCACTAGGGTAGCAGCGGTAGTACACAATTCTTGTAAAAGTTCTTTGCACTTTTTCAAGCTTTTCAGCGTTCTTCTTTGAATGGGGACTCCACACTGGAGATGCATACTCTAGGTGCGGCAACACATAAGTCTTGTAAAGTTTGACAAGAAGAGAAGGGTCATTACTGTGGATATTTCTGAGTATGACGAAAAGGACTGAGAAAGCTTTATTGGCAACCGTGTCGTAGTAACGGTTGAAACTAAGCTGGTCATCGTGAAGGATACCCAAGTCTTTAGTGACGTCGCAAAGTTCCATTTCGATACCATCGCATGATAAGCGGCGGGTTGAGAATCCCTAAGATGTAAGACCTTAGACTTGAGAGCGTTTACAGGTATATCCCACTCCTTGGACCAAAGGGTCATTTCTCTATAGACAATGAAACGCTTCGTGAGCTTCCATCCTCTTCCAATCATCATAGCAAAAGCGTTAAAAACTTGAACCCTGATCTCCGAATGTGTCCTCAAAAGCGATGGCAGTTCAGCAGTGTAAACCAGAAAGAGGAGTGGGGAAAGTACCCCCCCCCCCCCTGATTCACACCACTGCTACGTAGATCGTCTTGAAAAGCTATCACCAACTCGCACAGTCATCCCTTTATCGCATAAGTAGGATGAAAGCCAAGATAATACTCAGATAACCGCCGGGGGCAGGCGGTCCGCAAACTCGCGCTTTTCTGCAGGCGGTCAGCAGAATTTTGGGGCGTGGCCAAACCTTCAGCGGGCGGCACTTCCTTTACGGTCGCATATTCTGCCAGCGAGCAGCAATACAGCATTTTTTGCAAGCGCTCGGCAAATAATTTCTTTCAGCGAGCGCTGGCCAAACTTTCAGCAAGCGCTCGGACTCCTTTTAGGCATTTTCGCGCGTACGTCGAGTGCAGGTAATACTCTGTGGCGGAGGTGTCACCGTTGGTTTAATTACTCAAGTTTGAGGTACTTTCTCCCAGCGGAAAGTACCTGGGGGTTGCGCGGTCCTCCACAAAGGACCGTGCGGCCCTCGAAATTTTTGCATATTCTCGCGGAGAAAGTTTGGCCAGCGCTCGCTGAAAGAAATTATTTGCCGAGCGCTTGCAAAAAATGCTGTATTGCTGCTCGCTGGCAGAATATGCGACCGTAAAGGAAGTGCCGCCCGCTGAAGGTTTGGCCACGCCCCAAAATTCTGCTGACCGCCTGCAGAAAAGCGCGAGTTTGCGGACCGCCTGCCCCCGGCGATTATCTGAGTAATTGTCCGCGGAAACCGTGTGTTTCAAGTTTGAAAAGCAGTTTTTAGTGATTTACCCTGTCAAACGCTTTAGAAAGATCACAAAAGACGATATCCACTGAATTTCCATGGTTGATAATTTATCCAATCGCAGACTGAGTCAGTCAGTAATGCCGTAGTAGAGCCCCCACGAAGAAAACCATGCTGTTCCGGAGGGATGATCTTGTGTCTGTCAAACCACTCAATCAACTTTTCATTTAGTATTTTTTCGAGAATTTTACCACATGGGGCGGTGATACTATTGGGCGGTAATTGGAAGTACTGAGTTGCTCGCGTTGGGGTATGGCCGTAACCAGCGCTTCCTTCCAAACTTGTGGTACTTGACCCAGTAGAAGAGAAGCATTGTAGATGAAGAACAGAGGGAAAGTGAGAGCTTGGGCACACTTCCGGTATATAATCTGGAAGGCCGTCGTATGCAATGGCGATCGTTGGTTTAAGCTTTCTCAAAACCTCATGAACTTTATAAGGCTCCACAAAAAGCTGTGTGCAGTCCTCGCTAATTTGAATCATATATGGTAAAAAAGTTTCAGCTTCAGTACAGCCGTTGGTCACTGTAAAAAAGCTAGCAAAAAATTTTGCTAGTGCCTCTGCTTTTTCATTATCATCTATGAGTGTATTGCCTTGTTCGTCTCTTAATAACGAAAGCTTATGTTGCCCCTTGGTTTTTGATCCAAAATATTTGTAAAGCTCTTTCGATTTTTGCTTAGGAAAACGTCTTTCGCGATTGGCAAGATATTTTTTGATATGCCAACTAATATCTTTACATACTTTCCTATATAGCTCATTACTTAGGGCGTCAGGTAATTCCGTGAAAAGTCTGGTTTTTTGTTCTAGAAGGTTTTGATATGGCGTGGATAATTTACGACTTGGGGAGGTTCAATACGGAAGGGGACATGACTGGAAAGAATATGGTACAGTACCCTGCAAAAGCGGCGATACAGATCGTCCATTGATTCGTAATTAGCGAAGACGTCATACCGGCTGACTTTTTGTAGATCATTATTGATTTTGGTGAAGTCTGCTTTTCGAAAGTCAGGATATGGTAAAAAACTTTTTCTCGAGACAAATGAAGCATCAAAATTAAGCGTATTGTGGTCAGAGGAGGCGAAAGGAGGTAGAGTTTTTACATTGTGGACCACACTGCCTGATGAAAATATCAAGTCGACTGCTGACTTCCCCCTTGTGGTAATGAACACATTTTGATGGAGATCACAGTCATAAAGGAAAGTGAGTATGCGAGAATTAGCGTGAGGGGATAGAACATTCATGTTAAAATTGCCCAGAACTGTGGTATCGAATGGAAGAGAACAAAGATCTTGTAGGGAATTGGCCAGAGAAATGTCATCGCTGCTGGTAGAAGATGGCGGGCGGTAAACGACAATGAGTCTTAGAGGAGAGCGAGGAGGATGAACATCGTTAAGACAGAGAATTTCGGACTTAAGTCTTCCGGCAACTCGTACGCGCTCTACGCCTAGATCTTCCTTTATCAAACAACATACGCCACCTCCTCTACGGCCAGAACGGTCTGTACGATGGATAGTGTAAGGGAGCTCGGAAACTATTTCGGGGTCACTGATCTTAACACTTAGCCAGGTTTCGGTAATGCAGAGAATATCGGGAGAATAAAAACAAAGAAACGTATGTAGAAGATAAATTTTGTTGACTAAACTACGCGAATTAAAAAGTAGACATTAAAGGGGTGCAGAGATTTCAGGCTGGTTTAGGAATTTCCCTGATTATGCGTAGAGAGTTCCGAAGTACGCCGTAGCTCCCCTTTATACACGACCCATTCTTTCACTGCTTTACCTCTGTTCCTATCCCTCGAAATCTGCCTAAGTTCAAATTCCTGATGCGTTCGGCAGGGGTCATGCTTCTGCGAACGTATACGTTACGCAGATTGGAGTCGTGCAGGTAGTGGGCATTCGCAAGTGCTTGTGACCAGAATGAACGTGATGCGAAGACTACCTTCACCAATCTGGGTCTACCCTCGACGTACTTCCCCATGCGATAGATTTCTGTTGGCCAGCAATCCACCTTTAACACTTCTAATACATTGGCGACCCCAGCCTCCAATTCCACCTTTTGATCCGTAAGGGACTTACCCGGGATGGACTCTGGCAATCCCGCTAGCACAATACTGCGTCAACTCTTTTCACTTTCAACATCTTGGGGTATCTTAGCTTTAAGCGCTAGAACCATTTTCTCAATATGAGGGTCAGTATTTCTGGCCAATATCGACAATTAGTTCATTTGCGCTCAAGCCGCTAAAATCTAATTCCCCATCCTGATAGGTATTGTTATCCCTGGAGACGGGCTGAGACAAGGAGGAAGCTTTTTGTATACGCGCAGTTGAGACCTGGGAGGTCGATCTAGTTGACCTTGCCGGCATGATCTACAGGTTGATCAATAAGTGATGTGATAAAAACAGGGAATAGAGTAGAATTAGCGGCTAAAAGCTAGTTAAGTTCTGTAGAAAAATTCGCAAGCTGTTGAAAGTGCAGAAAATACGTATGAGACAACAATAAACTTGAGTTGGACCGCAGAAAAACGCAAAAAATTGCCAAACGTCGTGAAAGACTAGGAGAGAGAGCAAAATGCAGCCGCTCAGTGCGAGTGACCGACTAGAAATCTGTAAATTGTATACTAAGAGTAATCAAGATTAGATTACCTCTCCCTCGTTCAGCGGCCTCTAGAAGTTGTCGAACATGCTCGATATCAAGCTGAAGCTCACGGATTTCTTGCTCGAACACTCCTGAAAGTAATTTGTTGATTCACACAGCTCCAAAGTATACATTAGCTTACTTCCATGTATGATTATCACGCTTCCGAACGCGCGCCAGCCTGACATCAGTATGCAAACCTGTAATTACAAGATACGTAAAAGATCAACGACGTAAATCACGAAAGAACGCGAGTTGCACACTAGAAATATGACGGTAAGTAAGCAATTTCATCGTAGGAGAAAAGAGCAACAAACAAGTTCCAAATCTGGATTGGTTTCGATATCCGGAGGTCAAGATGTCGAAATTGTGGTATCCATGCACTAGATGTCGAAAATGTTTTGACATCTAGTGCACTGTAGAAGCGATTTTGTGCAGCTTGCGCGCTTCTGCACAATAGAGCGGCCGCCGGCCGGTATGATGTTTTGAAGCGGTCGCCGGCCGTTATTTAGCGCCGCCCAGATTCAAAGAGCAGCCGCCGGCCGGCAGGCCGTCGTCGGACGTCGCCGGCCGGTGCGAGTGTCTGAGTTATAGCCGAAGTCATAGTCGTGAAAGAATAGAGAAAAGCACACCGATATTAGATGCCGCCTCTGCGGACTAGTTTTCCTACAGACTGAACTATTGACGCTATTCATATCGCATGGGGATCAGTAGTTGGGGGATGTGGTGCTTAGCGAGCGAACTCGATCCTCTATCACTTACATAGAACAGGACAAGATGATATTTGTATGAAGTCTGCCATTTGCATGCTGCCAAACATTCCTTATCATTTCGATCATATCCACTACAAAGGGTTACGGGGCCACAGGGCTCACAGTTAGCGCTTGGTACGAGCTTTGGTGATCCGCATGCGATCCGGATCCACTGACAACTATAGGGTGCGCCAAAATTATTTGCGCCAAAATATTGAAAGCAGTGCCACAACAAAGACAATGAGAAATTCGGTCTGCATTCAATACAGAATGGCTTAAGTAAGTTTATAAAAAGCACTTTGAAAATCCCAAGGTCTTTATTTAGAGAAGTAAGAATTGCAAAAAAACATTGTTCGTTATGAAAAGAATGCAAGGTGACGCAAATGGTTAAATAGTCAAAATTTTTTGATTTGATTCTCCTTAAGATTTAAAGTCGAAGATCAGCTTTATTTTATGGTGAAATCTTTACTTGAGAGAAGTGATTATCAGAAAGATACGTGCTGGGCATATTTGTGAGCCACTACCCGCGTGCAGCACACGACAGAGTCAGAGGAATGTTATGAGTTCTTACCGAAAAGCAAAACAGGCAATTTTACATCTTCCAACTAGTACATAATGTTAAAGAACTTCGCTTGAATACACGCGCAAATGATTGTAGCGCACCCTCTATAACCGCAACTCATAAACTCACCTCGAGATATCGTATAAAATACACATTGCAGGCCTCTGTTCATTCATTCTTAAATGCAGCGTCCGGGCAGAATTTCGACTTTTATTTTTTGCCTTATCCAGGCCTTTCATGGCCCAGATTCCAAATATCTCAAATGTGTGAATTTTCCAAAAAAAACCTCATTTTTCAACCAATTTTGTGAGAGCCGTGAATGAGTGCTCCTGATGCTGTCCTTGTCGAAAGCAAGCATTAACAGGTAGACACTATGTGTGCCATTGTGTTTGTCACTTGAAAACACGTTAAGGGCTGGGAGCATACCTTCGATACATAGAGCAATGTACACTGGTAATCTTCACTTTGAGACTTATTATAGCACACAACCTTCACCTGTAGAAAAGAACAGAAAAAGCCGGGCGAAGCCCCGGATATTATGACATAAGAAGTGAATATGATGGGTACAGTGAATGATATTCAAAAAATCCAGAAAGCAAAAAAATTACGTTTTTGTAGCTTTTCCTGCTGACAAGAAGATTTTTATTCGAGAATCCCTCTAAAACTTAGAACGACATTTCTCAATTAATCTTTTCATAGATTACGACTGAGCGTTAGAAGTTCACGAAGCTGTTGGAGTTAAATAAATAAGAGTAGTTGCGCTTAAATCTTGCGCAGAGAGTCGTCGCATAAATGCTAATTCATCTCGTTATTAAGTGATTTTCAACATGTCGACGTTGTCAGTGCTTCTGGTGTCATGAGGATCACAACGATATAAAATATTACAAGGTTTCGTCAAACGCAGCGTCCAGGCAGAATCTCGACTTCTTTTTTGCCTTATCCAGGCTTTTTCCTAGGCTGGTTTGAAATATAATATACTCAGAATGCGTGAATTCCTAAAATAAAAACCCGTTTTAACACGTCAAGAACTGAAAAAATTTCATTCAAAGAGCCTGCCGTTCGAGGGAGTGGGTGGTCCTCGAGGTTCGAGAGAACTCTTCTCAGCCCTTGACGTGTTTTCTCGTGAACACAATGGAAGAGATAGTGTCTACCTGTTGATGCTTGCTTTTGACAAAGATTGCATTAGAGGCACCCTTCCAGGCTTCTCACAGAATTGTCTATGGGGTTTTTTGAGGAATTCACGCATTTTGAGTCGCATTGGATAAGGCAAAAAAAGAAGTCGAGATTCGCCTGGACGCTGCCTTTGAGATCCCAGATCTACGACCAGAGCCAAGTGCCCCGTCTATTCTGGTCTGTCTCCGCTGCTCGTCTGCGTCTCCGCGCGTTGCGCGCTATCTCGCTACCGCAACCCGTGGAGCGGCACGTTTGGCTCTGGTTCCCTCTTCTTATTGTTTTCAATTAAAATTCTAGCAAATTGTATGTTATATTGAAGCTCTTGATCTTTAGTTTCACGCAGACAACAGGGGGATAAAAATCCAAAAGACGCATCAAAACTTTGGTTGTCTTCGACATGCGTTTCGACTCAGTAATAATAAAACTTTACGTTTTCATAACAAATGTTTTTAGCTTATTTTTCCTTGATAGTCACCACTTCCAAAACATGTTTGTTTTCAAAACAATCACAAAGAAGAAACTAGCTTTCCCTCGTTTTCCCTGGTGCTGTGGATTGTCTGATCCTATAGGTGAAAACCTGCAATTTGAAATGGCATGAAGGAATGCCACAACTTCAAATTGATTGCGGCATTTTATTAGGTTTTCAGAAGCTTCTTCTGCATTCTTTTACATCTTTTTCTCTTCTTTGATTTCCTACAAACAACTTTCACTTTTTATGGGGAGCGGATACTCAAACAAGTCTCACTTCTAACTCCCTATCTCTAGGTTGTCGAAGGTATGGCTGGAAAGAGTTCGTTAAGAAGGTGGGCGGGGGGGGGGGGGGTGGGGGAGCTGTGTGAGGAAAGAGGAAATGGCCTAAAATCCGTACAATAAGTCCGCCTATCAGATAAGTCCGCAGCGGACCTAGCAGATAAGTCCGCTTTCTTGACAACGAAAGTCGCCCTCGCGCTGCCAAGAGTCTTGCAGATAAGTCCGCTTTCTCATGCTCAGGATAGGCGAACTTATCTGCTGCGGACTTATCTGATAGAGGATTCAGGAGGATTTATTTGCAAGACTTTTGGCGGCGCAGAGGGTGATTTTTCATCGATTTTTCGTGTCAAAACTGCAGATAAGTTGGACTTATTGTACGATTATAGGGTAATCCTCATCTCGTTTCAGGCCTAAGGCATACCTGGCGCGACTCCGGTCGCTGCGCGATTTGGCACAACAGCGATCTTCGTAATTTGTCCTTACTGCGCTTTCTTTGGTCAGAACTTGCTCCGTTTGCAGCAATTTACACAAGCTACCCAAATATGTGTCCAAGACGCACGACAAATTTGTAGAAATATGGCAAATCTCCAAGTCGCGTGAAAGTGGCCGAATCGCGTGAGGTATGCCTTAGGCCTTACATAGGTGTTTACACTCGGATTTGCGCGATGGTTTTGAATCAGGGTCCTAGTACTCGGTTATGATAGTATCTGAAAATGTCCAATTCTGCTCGGACGCTGCCTTCAAGTTTTATGACGCCGCAGCTTATCGCGAATATGAGATAATCAGGTCCGATGAATGTAAATTGGATAAAACAGGGAAGAGTAGTAGGTCATTTTATAAACTTGTCTGAAGAGTAGTTTTTAACAAGGTCTTACTGTAAGTAATATTAAACTGAGAAAAAGTGCGATAAGAGATGGGGCAGCGGCATTTATGAAGTTGTCCCGCTGTCGTGAAGATCGTCTTACACGTTAAACTGTCACTCATCTAGTGCCACTCGTAACACAAGTTGTCGTCGCTCCGACTTTCTGACATTTTACAACTTACCGCTTTTTCTTCCGAACTTGAGTGAAGTTTTCTCACTTGTTGTCTTGCGAAAATGTTATTTTTGCGGCGGCCAGATGGCTTGGCTCTTGCAGAATTTCGTTATGAGAGAGCAAGATGCATATCACGTTGTCTCAGAATAATATTTAGCTGATGGAGGGGGGGGGGGGGTAGTGATGCAAATAATTCAAATAATTTTTTCATTTGGGCAAGTAATGTGATTTTACCATAACTTATTTTGGACTGCTCGTGAAAGAAATTTCGTTGCTACCAAGTTATATAATCAGCTGCGTCGTAATTATAACGTAAACAAACACTACTCTTAAAGGTGAAGAATTTCTAATCAAAAAAATTGTATAAGAAATTTTAATTGCAGTCTCGAAAGGAGCGGAAATGCTAAGTTAACAAACTTTTTGTCGAATCAAAAATCATCCATTTTTTAACGAAAAGTAAGCGAGATCAACACTTAAATTCTGGACCCTTGAAAAAAGAGCTGTTTACCCCGTTTGATCTACAGATTTTTTCGATTTTCCAGGCAGTTAATTTTCAAAGGAAGAAAGTACGAAGATGTGAAAAAAGCTTTGGTGTCTCCTTGGAGTCGAATTTCTCCCTTATTGCAACAACTTCATTGCTGCAATTTGCTTTGCGCATAATAGTAACATGTCCGGGGGGGGGGGGGTACGCGATAGCATTTTTTTCGATGGTGGGTTCATTCTCGAAAGTTGGGCGGGGTCCTAAGTAGATCTTCAGTCACAGGCAACTCAGAAAGTTTCACTTTCCTTTGATTTTATAATCTTTGAGCAGAAGAAATTTTCTAGCAAATGTCAGGGAAGTTTATTAAATACTAGCTGGCTTACCCGGCACCGCCTGGCCCTGTCAAAAACGATAAAAGTTCCATTTCTATCCCTGTACACTTTAC